GTGTCTGTGTGTCCAGCGGCCTCTATACAAGGAATGTATGTGCGCACTAACAGTTCATTCAAAGCGAGTGGCATGGATAATGTCAACAGCTGTACCCCATCGCCTTAGCAGTCAACCCATCAACGATGCCGGTATGCTAACGTTTTGTTTTCTTTGTTTGTTGTGGAAGTGTAAAGTACCTGAAACCGCTGAACTAGAGGAAAAATCACCTACAGCCCGCGTCTATGTAGAGCGACGTCACTCAGCTCCCTTTGTTGTGGACACCGCACATGATCTCGGGCGACGGCGACGGCCAAATCCACCATCTCAGCCAAAACGTCTCCCCAAAACGCCTTAACTGCACTCTTCACTGGATCCGATCACCACCGGTAGACTTTTCAACTTCGCTTTTTTAGGCACTTTTTGGCGCTTACACTTCTCGACACTTCCAGAGCCAACTCATTCGACCACTGTTTTTAGTGCTCTCCTCATACCGTTCTTATCACTTCCTCTTCCGCTCTTTTCTTTTTAACCTGTAATCATTTTTTCTCCAGGTGGTATGGATTTACATCCTAATTGCCACATGGCCGTTTATTACCTGGTTTTTGTACCATTATTTACACTTTCCTACCCAGACAATATAAAGTATCACTTCAAACTATTTGAAAGGTCGATTAAAAATTACCTTTTTAAAGTTTTTGTAAGGAAAGTTGTTGGAGAAAATATCAAGTTCCCGTAATGCAATTCAAAAGCATAAATAAATCAGAAAACGACACAAAAACAAACATGAATTATGAAATACTATAAAGTTACAGGTATACATACTACAAATTACCATTAAATTACAGATATACATTTTATATATATATATATATATATATATATATATATATATATATATATATATATATATATATATATATATATGTGTGTGTATATATGTATATATATATATACAGTATATACACACACACACACACACTAACGGTCAAAAGTTTGGGGTCGGTTTTTCATTTTATGTTGTTTTTTTTTTAAGAAAATTATTCTGTTTATTAAAAGCAGCATTTATTAAATGTAAAAAAATTAATTGTTAAATATGTATTAAAATTGTAAATAACTGCTTTATTATTGTAAATAGTTTCAAATTTGTAAATTCAGGAAAATCTGCAATTGCAATTGATCTGTCGAATCTCCACACATACACACACACACACACACACACACGTGCATACTGTTGAAGTCAAAATTATTTGCCCTCCTGTGATTTTTTTCTTTTTCAAATATTTCCTAATATATTTAACAGAGCAAGGAATTTTTCACAGTATTACCTATAATATTTTTTTTCTTCTGGAGAAAGTCTTATTTCAGCTAGAATAAAATGAAAGCAGTTTTAATTTTTTAAAAACCATTTTAAGGTGAAAATATTAGCCCTCTTAAGCAATATTTTTTTTATTAGTTCACATAACATACCATCGTTGTACAATAATTTGCCTAATTACCCTAACCTGCCTAGTTAACCTAATTAACCTATAGTTAAGCCTTTAAATGTCACTTTAAGCTGTATAGACGTGTCTTGAAAAATACCTAGTAAAATATTATTCACTGTCATCATGGCAAAGATAAAATAAATCAGTTATTAGAAATGAGTTATTAAAACTATTATGATTATAAATGTGTTGAAAAAATCTCTCTGTTAAACAGATGTTGAAAAATATAGATATACAGGGGGCTAATAATTTAGACTTCAACTTTATATTAAATATAAGACAGAATAGGCAGGAAGAGAATACAGTCCTGATGTCAGATGCCATTTTCATATTTACAAACTGAATGGTGATTGATCCTCTTTTTCGGCTTTGATTGCATGAACTGTATTTCCTCCAAGAAATATTGTGATTGCTATGCTGGAAATCAGAGAAACAGAAGGAATGACTGACAACACGCTTCAGCTGCCACTGATACGCTCACATTATAATCTTAGTCAATTAACGCATCCGTTATCGCACTCCTCTAACTCGCTCTGTCAAACATTTGAGCAGGACTGACAGAAATAACGCTGCTCTGTTAAGCTTCAGTGCGCGCAACTTGTCAGACCTGAGATGATTTCATTAAAGCATTTACAAACTATAACCAGCTAAACACGAGGGTTTTTATGTATATTTTGACTTATATTTTCTGTTGATCCATTGAAAAAATGTCCTGGCTTTCCATGATAAGTTTTTTTTTTTTTTTTTAAGGACGTTTGTTTTTCCTTCAAATTTTTCATTAGTTTCTTTCTAAGCCATTTTTCCTCTGTGACTTCTCAGTATGTTCAAAAAGAAAGCACCTCCGTTTTCTTACTTTGTGTATCCGCCGTCCTCTCATCTGCCGGTAAAGGAGACTAATTAGGCCTTAAAAGCCTCAGAGAAGGAAAGGGTATTGTGCTCTATTTGCCTTTAATCCAGGCTTAAATAAATGGGGAAAAAGCACATCACATTAGTTTTTACTCCTTTCTAAAATGAAATAGTTACTTCATCTCAGGTATAAACCCTGCAAATTTAGTAAGAAAAATCACTTTTGGAAGGAAATGTTCTATATTATTATTTTTATTTATGTATTTTTTCCCTGAAAATAAGTAACATTTAAAGTTACTACTGGCCCAAACTGAACAATTTGTCATCATCTTCTCACTCTTTTAAAGAGTTTAGCTACGTTTGCAAATAGCCTGGCTGCTATTTTACTGTAGAAGGCTATTCTATGGATTTACTATGAATTTACTGTAGTAATCAGTACCCATGGCATTGTGTGGGGGTTACACAAAATGGTCAGCCCTCCTGTAAATTCTTAAAGGTTCAAGACACCCTGGAATTTATTATTATTTTTTACAGATTTGTGTGTGTTGAGTATCAGTTAAGACAACATTAGCACCTGTCAGCTTTAATTGTGAAGAAAACTGGATGATTTGTCGGCTTATTCTGTCGTCCAGGTTTAAAATAAATTTTGGTACTGGAACAAAACTGGGGTTTGTTGCATGTTTTTTCCCCGCAATTCTGTCAGAGCCGATACAGCAAAGCTGTTGGTTTGCAGCAAGCATTTTTGTAGGGAGAGCTGTATGAGAATTGTAGAATGGCAGCCTTTTTTGTCTTTTATCAGTTGAGTTCATTCCCATTCAGACACATTGCCTATATCCAAGCTGTTGTGTTCGCCTACTGTATGTTTAAAATCCTCCAGATTACCGGCAGGGCTAATAGTTGAAATAGACAGGAGACCTGCTGCACTGCTATCCACTATGTCTGCATTCAGACCCTGGGATTGAGTAGGAGAGAAGTCCTCCTCATTTATACTGTTTACATGATTATATTTCTGATGATATAACAAATCGTGGTTGTGTATATGAAATTACGAATAACAAATGTAGCATGGCATTAAATGAAACTTAAATTTATTTCTTTGGGTTTTACCTTTGTAAACTATAAAATCATGAATCTCTACACTGTTTGTGTCTCATTTTGTGTGGCAACTGACAGCAGTTGTTTGCTCCCCTCTTTTTCCCCCTACTCTGCCAGTCATGCCCACTCCTTCCTCTGCTTGCAGCACTTCACGCCCATTTTGGAGCATTTTTTGAGAAAATTCTGATGTAAACTTGAACCGAAAGAAGAGGGATTTCATGAACCTTTAAGTTGTTTGACAAATATTTTCCAAGTGCTGTTTAACACTAATTTTAACTTATAAATAATAATAATAACTTATTTGTTTTGTCTTTGCCATGATGACAGTGCATCATATTTTATTAGTTATATAGTTAGATTCTGTATTAAGTGCAATTAAAAGGCAAGTGTGATTTTTGATTTTGCAATTCAGCAGAGGTTGTTGAACAACCGAGGTTTGTTCTGTAGCCTATAAAATAAAAAGTGAAAAGTTTTTTTTTAAGGTCAAAATATTGATCATTTTTAAAAAGAAGTAATATAACATAAAAAAATATGTGACAAAAAGCTAAGTATGTCTTTAAACTACTTATTTTTTGTGACATTTATTGTGATAAGTATATGTTGTTTTCAATCACGTGGTTCTGGTGACGTGCAAAAATCAGATAGAGGGCAAAAAACTGAATGGGAGACATAGAGGAAAGTTCAAATTTCTCAGATTTATGCCATATTTCAAAGAATTATAGAAAATAACCTCATATGTTGGGCATGATCCTAAAGTCATGAAGAGGTTCTACTGAAGTTTTATACTGAGTATATATACTAAAATATATTTGCCTGTCATGGATGCAGTATATACTGTATAATTATATTACATGAAAAATCCTAAAGTAAATACTACAGTGTTTGGAAGCACACTATAGATAATTACACCAATAACCCTATCGTAGTAATTACATTGTTGCTGTGGTACAACACAACTGTAGTAATGAACAAATTATTTAATAGGCTTCAGTTTCTTATGCTAGAATCACAATGCACCACAGTTTACACTAGCGTTACAGTATTTATTACAGTTTATCATTTTACTATGCTACAGTATCGTCAATGTTGTCATCAATGTTGTCATGTGAAAACAATCTATTGATATGGTTTAAAAATGTATCATGAAGAGCCCAATTTACAGTTGAATTGGGGTATTGGTGTATCTTTCAAAATGATTCACAAATGTGCATTTCCAGAGTAGTAGAAGTGTGTACACTGTGTATACAACATGATTAAATGTTAAATATTTTTGGATAAAGATATTGAATATTTGAAAACTTTCTTCTTTTTCAGCACATATAAAGCATTCCCATCACTTTGCAAGACCGGGATTAAACCACCAGAGTCATATGGTTTACTTTTAGGTTGTTTTCAACACGTTTTAAAGCATTTTAATAAGGAGGGGCAGAAATCTCTCAGGTTTCATTAAAATGTCTTCATTTGTGTTCTGGAAATGAACAAAAGTCTTAGGGGCTTGAAACAGCATGAAAGTAAATGACGACAGATTTTCATTTTCGGGTGAATTAATCCTTTAAGGCAATGAAATCCCTATTTGGTCTTCCTTTCTGACAGGGGCGATTAAACGGAAAGTGGAGCTGGACTGGGGAACCGAAGACAGTGAATATCTACAGAAGGTGGATCTCCATTCAGAAGGGGCACTGAATGAAGCACGGCCTGACATTATCATATACAACGCAGGAACAGACATCCTTGATGGAGATCCACTCGGGGGCCTGGCTATTTCCCCACAGGTACAGCTGTCACTCTTCCTTCCTTTCAGACATTATATCAGATCTAAGATACACTGCTTCAAGTCGGCAAGACTTTCTAGCCTGGCCTATAAAAGCCTGTGTCGGTTCAATCACTTCTGAAGCAGGTCTAAATTAGTTTAGTTTAGTTTAGTTTAGTTTAGTTTTGTTTTTGTGTTTTGTTTTGTTTCTTTTTGTTTTGTTTTTGTGTCTGTTTTTTTTTTTTTTTTGTTATTGTGATTAGTTTTTGGGTGTTGTTTTTGTGTTTTGTTTGGTTTTGTTTGCTTTACTTTGCTTTGATTTTGTTTTAATTTTTGTGTTTTGTTTTGTTGTTTTTTTTATGTTTTAGTTTTTTGTTTAGATTTTTGTTTGTTTTTATGCTTTTTGTTTTTTGTTTAGTTTTTTGTTTTGTAAAAACAATATTTTTACAGATATTTATTTTGTTTTAATTTGTTTTTAATATTGTGTAAATTGTTTTTTTTTTTGTATTCTATTGAATTTTTCTTATTAATAATTTATCTTAGTTTAGTTTAGTTTATCTTTTAAGCACAAAGAAAGATCTGTTCATTGAATATAAAGTCTCCTCCCTCTCAACTTAAATTGCTAATAAAAGGACCAAACAATAAATCCAACTGAAACAAGCAGTTTAAACTAAGTTTTCTGAAATGACACCATTACAGAATTAATTATGATTTATATACATATATCTACTATTTGATCAATGGAAACAAACAGAGGTTCAATTGAGGGACAAAAATCTCTCACATAATTAAAAATATTTTCATTTGTGTTTCAAAGAAGAACAAAAGACTTATGAACAGAAGAGTGTAGAATGAAATGAGCATTAGTAAAAAATTCAAAAATTTAATGAAGTACCATGAAGCAGACCAAAAATAGATTGGACCAATTTATCAGCTGATCCTCAAATAATAACTTTGCCATTTGTATAACTCACCTCTCCTTCCTCCTTTAAAAAATGTTAAATAAAATAATGAAAATGTGCTATGTTGTTTTCAGGCATGTTTATACATATATATTTAAACAGCACAGTACCAGCAGTTTTAACTTCATACGAATTATTAAATCAATTTTTACTGGAATAACAATGATTTTTTTTAATCACTACAAGTGAAATGCATTTGTTATTCTGACCAAATTGTTATTTTCAGAAAAAAATAAAAATCTAAATGACAATGTTTTTATTTTAAATTTGCAAGAAAGCAAAAATAAATCCTTTCCTTTCCTAATAAATCTAGTAAAATATATTTTAAGTGGTCTTTTAACTTTTAAATTTGCTGAAATGTCTTACATATGAAGCCATATTAATCCCTTTGCTAAAGTACTCTCCTCTCTTTCTCTCACTCTCTCAGGGTATCATAAAGAGGGATGAGATCATCTTCAGGGCGGCCCGGAGGCGAGGAATCCCCATCCTAATGGTGACATCAGGAGGCTACCAGAAGAAAACGGCCCGTATCATCGCTGACTCCATCCTCAATCTTCACAGACAGGGTTTGATTGGTGAAGAGGCTTTAGATGTTGCGGGACCCTCACACGTGTCACTTATGATGAGTAAATCTGTGTCATCAGGTTCTACGCTTGCTGCCATTTAAATGCTCCTAATCTGGGACTTCTTTAAGTGTGTCAAACACGCTGTTAATCTACCTAATACAAACATTTAGAACTAATATTAAAGGTTCTGGTCAGGGATGATCTGGTGGTTTGGATTGAGGTTGACTCAGGATTTTTAAACTTTTTTTGTATTTATAAGTCATTCTTTGTGATCTTTTGTTAAAGGTTAGGAATATCTTCCATTTGAATGCTTGTTTGCACATAACATCTTGAGAGGGAATAGTTTACCCATAAAAAAAAAAATCATCATTGAATCATCTTCGTTTCAAACCCATTCAGTAGTATGAAACTATTAAAAAAGATGTATAAAGATGAAACAATAGTTCTCATTTTACGTTTCACAGAAGGAAGAAGATTCTATAGATTGGAATCTGTATTGTTGTGTGAACTATTTAGCTAAACCTTTTTTACTAGGTACTGTACTCACTGATTGAGAATTTGAGGGATATTGACTTCAGATTTAAGTCATTCCTTTTGATTTTTAAGGATAAAGATTAGGAAAAATCTTCAATTTGAATGTTTTTTTTATTTATTTATTTTTTTTGCACTTAGCGTCTCTTTAATAGTTTATCCATTTATCCATAAGAAAATCTGTCATCATTGAATATCCTTCATTTCAAATCCATTCAGTAGTAAGAATTTTCTTTTTCTTTCATGGCCACATAGCCCTCACCGTGGCTGAAACAGACGCTGACGCAGCAACTCTAAAAAAATTGAACTTCAGACTAAATGCAAGCTCTGTGATTGGTCGACTTGGTAGCAGTGACTAGTGCGGGCGGTGCTGAGAGCCACGAGCCCAGTGGAGTGAGTATTTACAAGTGTCGGGTCCTTTGTTTACCTTATGATTAGTTGTTATCGTCTGTTGGTTCCTAACTCTGAATGAGCAAGTTTTAGCTTAGGTTTAGCAAAAACAAAACACCCATGAAGAAACTCGACACTGAGGAACATAAAAACCCACTGCCAGCTGGAGTTTTGGAATTTTAATTGCAATACAAACAGCACGCAGAAGTATAAATGGATGACTAGGCACAAGCAAAGAGTTTAGAGTTACCAAGAGGCGACACTCAACAGAATGTTCCTTTGAAACAGCAGCGCTCAGCAACAGCCCCCAGTGAAAGCGATCAGCCGTCAATTGGATCATATTGCTGTCACGATGACAAGCTGCTTTGTTTTTTAAAAAGATAAACCTGAAAGACGACAATACAACACTTACTATCACAAGACTGGTGATCATCAGCACTTTTAATATTTTACAGACTTTTTAAAAATACATTTTTACCATACTTGTTTTCTTGAAACGGTCAAGTCTAGATGAAATTACTTTAATTTAATAGTTTACGCACTGGAATGATAAAAATGAATACTGACATGTTAAATTATATTAACATGACTTTTAAAATGGGACATTGATAACCGAATGACTGAACATACAATTTTTGTTGTAGTGTTAGCTGTATGTTATGTTCAGGGCTTAATTTTGGCTGAAACATGCCTCTACATCCTCGGGTAACAAGCCGGATCTGTTAACCCGATCTGTTCCAGGACCTCGCCTAGTACATAAAAGGCCTCTTTCTCCAAAATGATTAAATTCTGACAAAAATTCATCATATAGGTTACCACACGTTGCGTATATGTGTATATGGATAAATGTGTGCATATAGTATAATATTTTAACTTAAATTTAACTCAATATTTTGATTAATTTTGTCTAACGTTAGTTATCCGTGTTGTCCTAATTGAATGTTCATTCCAAAATGGCCGTTGCGTGACACTAGCGGCGTATAGTGACTGTTTTCTCAAATAGCAACAGAGTTGTGCCTCTTAGAAATTTCATTGCTCTTTAGTCCAAGGCAAGCGTCGTGGGTCACAGCGTTCGCTCGACACAGAAGTTTAAATCAGCCTTATGTCACCTTTCCACTGCACACAACATTTGGACACGACTGTTGGAACGCGCTCGGACAGCACTGGAATACATCACATTTGTTCGGCCAGTCGCAAACAGTCTAGTCTCAGGAGTTCAAATGTTTTAATGCATCCGCAGCTCAAATCGGATCCGAATTTTCAGCTTACGGAGATGAGCAGAACTCCTGGACTACTCTCCATTGGAAATGAATGACTTCCGGTCTGTCATTTGTCGTGTGTAGTGTAAAGGCATCCCCAGTTTAAGAAACACAAACACACAAAATAATATACCGTACCATAAACCACAAGTAGATTTGATTGAGCGATTTGTGGCAGCTCTCTCCAGCATTAAATTAGATTCATTCAATATTAAATTACAGCAATATGAATCAATTTTGGAGTCATTATGGATTCCTCGTCGCTCAGACCCGCTCTCACGCCTGGAATTATTCTGTGACATTAAATGGAAGTTGCTCTTAGAGACGTGGTTTTTGTGACCACCAGTTTTAGCGGCGTGCAGGAATTCTCATTTGTGTGCATCAGCAGGTGGACCACTGTCAGGCTGAGTGCTTTCTATCATATTACGCCTGGCAGGCTTTTTGAAATGTCTTGAGGCCGAGGCCGGCCTTCTCTCTATTAGGAAATGAAACTCTTCATTGGAGAGTCTGAGAGACAGTGCAGTTGCTTACCAGTGACAGTTCTAAAGCTGTGATCTTGTCTGCCTCAATTTAAGAAAATGCCTCCTGTCATCTAGAGAATAAATAGGAGATGATGATACTCTTTTCCCTCTTTTTTTTTTTTTTCGATATTAAATTCGGGTTTGAAATCAAGATTCTCAGTATTTTTGTTTTATGTGGTTTTTATTTTTAGACATCAGGTGTGGAAAGATACTATTTTTGCTCAAGGAGTTTATTACCGAAGACAGATTTATGATTGGGTTTGTCACTATGCTGGCATTATAAGCTTTCGAGTTTATTTTAAGGAAGTTCATACAAAGTGAAAATCCTGCCATCTTGTATTTATCTAGTCTTATGTCATTTCAGATCTGTTTAAAAAAAAAATAATGAGATGGACATAGTGGCAGTTCTAGTTTAAATGGCACCCTAGGCGAACTCATACCCCCAATCCCCTGAGAAATAAAGGATAGACTTTTTATTACTCCCATTGGAACACATGTAATTGTCTCAAATAGACAATTCAAACAGCATACTGTACATCCATTCATTTTCTTTTCAACTTAGTCCCTTTATTAATCTGGGGTCGCCACAGTGGAATGAACCGCCAACTTATCCAGCATATGTTTTATGCAGCGGATGCCCTTCCAGCTGCAACCCATCACAGGGAAACACCCATACACTCTCATTCTTACTTAAACACTACGGACGATTTAGCTTACAAAATTACGTTTTTTCGTAAAAAAACACATTTGCAAATACCTAAAAAAAGATCTGCTAAATAAATAAATGTAAATAATTGCTCAAATTTGCTGCAAAAGAGCTCAAAGTTTCTTTAAGGATAACAAAAGATTTACTAGTTAATACAGTTCCTCAGAGCACTACAAATGTTTTGCAAATGTTAAAACATTAAAATACAATTTTCATTTATTTATTCATTTTCCTTCGGCTTAGTCTCTTTATTATTCAGGGATTGCCACAGCGGAATGAACCCCCAACTTATCCAGCATGTTTTATGCCGCAGATGCCTTTTTCTTCTGCTGCCCAGCACTTTGAAACACTCTTGCATTCACACACATACACTACGGCCAATTTAGCTTACCCAATTCACCTATAGAGCATGTCTTTGGACTGTGGAGGAAAGCAGAGCACCCAGATGAAACTCATGCGAACACAGAGAGAACATGCAAGCTCCTCACAGAAACGCAAACTGACCCAGCCGAGGCTCGAACCAGCAACCTTCTTGCTGTGAGGCAACGGTGCTAACCACTTGAGCCACCGTGTAGCCTTAAAATAAAAATTTTCCTCTCCATTTTTTTATCTAATCATCTCAACCCCTCACCGCTTTTCATTGTGTCGAACAGTGTGAACATTGTCCAAATTCACTACTTTTGTATTCAGAGCAAAAGGTTTTGAAGCAACAAAAGCTTGAGTAAATGGCAGACTTTTCAGATGGAAGTGAATTTATCCCTTTTATTAAGTTTTATTTCAAGCTCAAGGTTGTTATTCAAGGGGCTTTTAGTTCGATCTCCATAAGGAGCGAGATATTAGTCATGAGCTTTGTGTAAGGCACTTATCCTCAGGTTGCAGAAGGTAATTGTCCTGGCGCTGTTCAGCGACATTGTGTGAAAGTCGTGGAAACTTTACCACCAACCCAATTCATCTGGTGACTAATAAAGATTTACTGGGAGCCGTTAGTGGCCCTTTTAGACTTTTCTCCACTAAATTGCTCCTAGAGAACAGAATAGTATGAAAACATAGCTCTGTTTGTTTGAGCATCCAGACCACCTTAGCAAAATTACATCAGCCAAGATTTGTCTAGACTATTTTTTTGTGGCGAGGGACATGGGGAGAGTGCTAATGGTACAAAACACATAACCTTTAACAGTAAATAAACATATAATGGTTTTAGAGCTACTGAAATAATATGATTACTTATTTATCATGATATCTTTGCATTAAAACTCTCATACTTTTCAAATATTAGCTTGTAATAGTCAAGAGAGCAAAGCATTCAATTACTGAAGTGTTTTATCTTTTGGGAATGGCAAAATTTGAGAGTTATGAATGTCTTTTTTAGGTCTTTGGTTGAAGTTATGAGTCTGATATCGCACTCAGGCGCTGGAGGGATCTTGGTAAAGAACACTAATGAGTGTAGTAGGGCTCTTTTCGTCCCTTTCCTTTCTTTTTTCTCTTTAATGAAAGCCGTCAAATAGATGTGTATGGAGGTCACTTGAAAGACGTGAACCCTTTTGCTCTAGCCAGCAGTTTAATGGATACATGAAAAGGACCACCATGGTCCTACTCGAACAAATGACTTACTGATGAGTTTTTCATGTACTTAGATCTAAATGGGATGTCAGATGTGCTTATTTTGTGGATAATATTTCGGTTTGGGTAGTAACATTTGAATAATAGATAATTTTCTGTATGAACACTATTCATTTATTTTGATTTGTGCTAGGGATGCACTGCATATATTGACTTAAGTGAAGTTTAATTTTAAACTAATTTCGAGAGGAGCATGAGCTCATGATTGACCCAGCTGATCCACATTAGCTAATCATGATCCTCCAATCAAAGGATCCCAAATCACTATATATATCCTCATTTCCTTTCTACAACTATCTTCGTCTGGAAGAAACCCCCCTCCTCCCCTTCTTCCTCCTTTTTCTAGAATGGGCGGCACGGTGGCTCAGTGACTAGCACTGTTGCCTCACAGCAAGAATACCACTGGTGTTGTGTCCTCGCTAAGCCATCTGGTATTTCTGTGTGGAGTTTGCATGTTCTCCCCGTGTCTGCGTAGGTATCCCCTGGGTTTCTTGGTTTCCTCCCACCATCCAAATGTGCTCTATATTATAGATAAAATAAGCCTAAACCTTTTTTATAGTGTCTTACTCTCAGGAAGTTCGCCTTGGCCTCAGCAGCGGGGGAGTTTAAGATAGATCTGAGCTCAATCTCCACTCGCCCTGCAAAAGGGACTCCCATGCATTTTTCTCCCTAAGCTTGAGGATTCCTTGAGCTCAGGGCTCTCTCCCGGGACAGCATGCCAAACAAGCTATGTATAAATCATGAGCTAAGTGTGAACTCTTGAAATATTGTTATCGGTTGATAAATGCACCTTTTTGTGTGTTGGCAGTTTTGACAGTTTTGACAATCAAATATTTTTATTATATTGCCACTGTAATTCTGAGCTGATTAATTTTGGATTATTTTTACTAGGTGTAAGGGGTTTGGTGAAAATTATTTTCAACACTTAGCTAATGATTGATTATAAGGCTCGTTTGGCATGCTGTCCCGGGAGAGAACCCTGAGCTCATAAGATCCTCAAGCCCGGGGCTTCCTCCCGTTTGCAAGGCAAGAGGGGAGTTTGAGCTCAGGTAGATCTTGAGAACTCCCCTGTAGTGATTAATAAACAGATAGAGGTTGCTCTTAAGAGATAACTACTTACTAGGTGCATGTTTATGGTGGCGATTTAGATTGGTCAATTAACTAAAACTGCATGTTTTTGGACATTGGAAGGAAACCAGGGAACCCAGTGGGAAACCCATGTGAGCACAGGGAGAACATGTAATCTCCACACAGAAATGTTGGCTGGCTTGGTAAGGACTAGAACCAGTGACATTCTTGCTGTGAGGCAACAGTGCTAACCACTGGGCCACTGTGCCACCCATATAGGAAAGGAGGAGAAGTAGGGGTGGAAGGGGGCATCCTTCAAAACAAAGATGGATGTATGGAACGTAAGTTATTTATAGTGGCTTAGGAATCATCTGATAGGTGAATCATTCATTTTATAATGCGGGACCAGCCACAAGCAATCATAAGCATGTGATCCTCTTGAAATTAGTTTATAAATAACCTTCACATCTGGATATCTATTTAAAGTAATTTTTAAGATTTCAAAATAAAATCAAGCCTTTTTATATGTTTATTAAGCTTTTAAAGTTATAACAATGCAATTTTAAAGAGAAATTTAAAAAAAGTATAATTTCCACCTCTACCCTCTAAACAAGTTGAAGTTACATTTATCCATGAGAGAAAAGAAAAAATAGTAAATATAAATAAATAAATATAATACAAAATATATATATATATATATATATAATATATATAATATATAATATATATATATAATTTGTTTAAAAAATCAATAAATAAGATAATAAAAAACCTGCACAAAATACACGTATACCTTGATAACCCAATATTACATTATTCCTCAAGTATTTATACAAATTACTTTATTACATTTGCTTTGCAATTGAAAGGCCCTAAAATTTAAGATTCTCTACAGTTTGTAGAGATACTGACATGCTCAGAAAAGAAAATCCTAAATTGGTCCCATGTTTCAGAAAAAGCCCTATAGTATTGCCGTTTATTGTAAACCTGAGTTTTCCCAAATGAATGAAGCTCATTGTATCTCTCAACCAGTTGTCAAAACTCAGCGAAATTCTTGGTTACACTTTATTTTGATGGTCCTTTTGTTGAATTTAATCTACATTGTATCTACATGCTAACTAATCCTCAATAGATTATAAGTAGACTGTTAGGTTGAGGTTAGGGTTAGTGTAAGTTGACTTGTACTTGCAAAGTTTCATATAATCAGTTAAATGTTTGTTGAAAGAGCATATCAACAGATATTAAGCAGACAGTCTACAAATACTCAAATCGACCATCAAAATAAAGTGTTACAGAAATCTTTGTTTCCCTAATAAAAGAATATACGGTCTTGATAACGGTGTCAAAAATGCAAGGGCGTTTGCAATACAGCTCGATACCCCGGCTATATTTAGAGAAAGTCCAAAAAGTGCAATAAGAGGACACAGATCATTGTGCATCTTTGTCACAGAAGAAAAAAACACTTGAAAATTAATAGCTAACAAGAAGTGATTGATGGACAAAGCCAAAATATGTGTTTTAGGTCTGCAGGTGCTTGATAACAGCGATCACATAAAAGGTCCAAGTCTTGAGTTACTTTTGCCAACCTCACTTTTGTCCAGTATATTCGATGAGCAAATTTTAATTGGATAAGGCAATGTCGTCCATAGATAGAGGAGGTATGAATGCAGGACAAAATGTGGTCCCACGTCTCATCCTATAATGTAAGATTAAGCTCTGATTTCCACTGTTGTTTAATAAAGAAAAGAGGGGTAGTAGAGAAAGTGGAGATCAAACTGTATAAAATGGACAGAATACCTTTTTCATCTAAGGGTACTTCAAAAAATTTAAATTTCAATGGAAGGCTTGGAAAATCTGGATATGAATTTTTAACAAGGCTTCTTGCATGTATCTAAAGAAATGAGTGCTAGGAGGAGAAAATTTTACCTTTTGATTTTGTAATCAGGCTTAATAAAGAATCTATATTTATGTTTATTGGCCTATATATT